GGCGGGAAGAGGGAGCTGGAGCCAGGGCCGGCGGGGGTCTGCCGGCCTCGGAGCTCTACGGGACAAGACAGGGCCGTGACCGCCAGCCGAGGGACACTGACTGTCAGGGGAGGACGAGGGTGAGCGTTTGGGGGAGACAGAGAAACATGACACAAGTTCTCTCTGGTCAACATAAACCTATTTTTAAAATTTACTGCAAACGGCCCACACAATTAGGCTGGCGCTGTACACTGGCTGCCCGCCATGCCAAGTGGCGTTTTAATGCCACACACCGACCTCTCGCCCGCGATCGTGCCCGCTACAGAGCTGCCTCTCTGCCAAGCCCAGAGGGCACCCCGCCCCCGCCCCACCCCTCGCTCACCGGAGCCTTTCCAGCAGATGAGGGGGCCGGGGGCCAGCGCCCCCTGTGCGTTGCGGACCAGGTAACACTTCAAGTGCTTCTGCTTCTTGGGCTGGGTGGTGAGCTTCAGGTTGATGTGGTTGGAGAATTCCGTGAAGTAACAGAAGCCTTTCTTGCCGCAGCCAACACAGTTCCCAGAGAATCCTGGAGGGAGACACACGGTGAACCTCCCCAACTGCCCTGCAAAGTCCTCCTCACATCGCACACCGTTCCCGGAAACTCTGACAGCCACCAGAGCATCCCACGGGGCGAAGGTCCCCGTCATCTTGGGCTGGTCCCACTCCCACAGCCTCTCCCTGCCCACTCCCCCACGCGCCTGCCTCCGGGCACATGCTCTCCCTCTGTTAAGCCCCACCTGCGTGCCCTCTGCCCAACACTCAACACTCCATTCAAACGCCCACTTCCTCCAGGCATCTCCCCTGTCCCACAGGGCCGCCTCCCTGCTCTCCAGACCCGACAGCCTCTTTATATTGCTCAGAGGGCCTTGCGACGCCTTCCTTAGTGGTGTAGTTACTGCGATCCCTGCCTTTTCCCCCATAACTACCCCAGGGGTCACAGTGTGACCGCGTGGGGGTGTGAGTTGCGTCTGTGTATGTCAGTGTAGGTGCACAGAGGAGTGCTCGGCATGTGTCAGATGTGTCAGATCATTGGTAAATACAAGAGGAAGGAAGGAGACTGGAAACAAGGTAACTGTACGAGTGATCGCCGGATGGTTTCTCTGCGTACACTCTGACGTAATCGTCGAACACGTGTATTGAGCCCTTTGTCTCCAAGGTGGGAACCCTGAGACACACAGCTCAGCTGCCATCGAGGACGAAGGCCCTGAGAAACCTCCCACGCCCCCTGGAAGGGACTCTGACCCGAGTGTTGAAATGATGGACAAACGAGAAACGGAGTCGCAAGACAGAGGATGCAAAGAGCCACTTGCCGAGGCCAGCACTGCCTTCCTGTCCAGACACAAGGGACATGTGGGCTGTGGGCCGTTTCGGAAGCAGGGGTGGAACCACAGGCCACAGCGCGCCTCTCTGTGGTTCCGAAATGACAGTGGAAGCCTCGGTCTCCCTGGTACAGGAAGCGTCCAGGGAGGCGGCAGGGAGGCGGCCCCCTGCGCTGGCAGGCGCTTTCTGGTCGGGAGAATCTGCTGCTCTTCTGAGAGAGGACCCTGGGCCGGGGAGGGCCAACCAAGAGGACCGCAGGCCGGCTTACCAACCGGGCCCAGGAGACGGGACATGGTTTAAACCACCAGCTGAACACGTGCCATCATTCTAATCTTTCAAAGGAATTGTCTGAAAGGCAGTAAACGTCTTCGTGAGGAAGAACACAGCACGCCCTCTCTTTGGAAATCGCCCTTCGGACCTGGGAGTCTACGATAACCTTTAGGAGACAGGCCCAGAAAGCATGCGTAGAACCCGAATCCCCAAATTCCTGCCCGGCACAGATCCCCAGGCCGAGAGAAACCAGCCCTGCAGTGCACTGTCCACGGGAAAGAGCCCAGCACAACGAATCGCTCTTGACCACACACAGCGGCACGCCGCGATCGCCCCGCGGGTCCCGTGTCGCTGTGTTGAGCAGCTGTGGCAGCATCTGCTTAACTGGCAGATCCTGAGCGGGCGCCTGTGTGTGCAGCCACCAAGCCAGGCTCTCCCTTCTGCTGGAGAGAACGCGTCTGCCCTCTCCCCCTTCACTGCTGTGGAGCATGAGTCAGAGGGACCCGGGTACAAATCCTAACTCCCTACTCCTGTGACTTTGGGCAGGTTAACGTCTCTGAGCGTTGGGTTTCTCGTCTGTAAACAAGATGATAACAGCAAACATTTACTGCACACTGACCAGGTGCCACGCACTGAGCCAAGCACTTGACATGATAAATGTTCTCACTTAAACCTCCAGAAGCACTATAAAACGATTCTCAGGTTCCCCGGTTTACAAATGAGGAAGTCCAGCACAGAGAGAAAGTAACTCACCCATGGGGGGAAGGGGGAGGGCAGTATGAGAGTTAGGATTGAGCCATTCTGCTATGGCTGTCCACACAAAAATCCATCTTGAAGAGCATGAGGAGGGCAAAGTGCCCACTATGTGTTCAGCACATAGTAGGTGCTCAGCAAGTGTCATTTCTTCTTCCTCTGCCTTGGACAGGCACCGCTGTATTAGAGAGCAGAGCTCAGATGGATCAGGTCAGGAGACTCACGTCTGACCCGCCCGAGGCCCTCACAGTGCTGGGAGATACGGGGCAGTGGCTCGCTCGCTCGCTCCGGGCCCCAGTTTCCCAGCCATAAAAGGGAAGGTGAGGACTCAACGAACCCTATGCTTCGTTCCAGAACCACAGTCACAGGATTCTTCTTTGAAGCATCCACAGTGGCTTCCTTCTGACGCGAAGGGTGGTCTCTGAGCACACGGCTAACGGCAGGAGGCCCACCTGGGATACACCCAGGGGGCTTGATGGTACCACACTCGGAGGTGCCAACCAATCAGGAATGATCTGGAATCCTGCAACAGGCTCACAACTAGTACCCCTGCCTCAGTTTCTCTTTTAACGAAAATCAACTATTCGTGTGACCTCCCAGAGATCTTCCTAAAATGCAAACTTAAACATGGTAATGGCCTGATTCGAGTCCTCCCGATGTTTCTTTACAATATAAACTGAGGGGAAAGCCAGGAGGGAAGGGTGTGTAAATGAAGAGAGCAAACAAACCAGAGGGACCTGAGAGACACACCACCACTTGCTTTGGGAGAATCTCATGTGGGTCTTCATCTTAAAAACCAACTGTGAAAAAAATTATAAAATGAAATCCGAGCACACTGGTGATTTGAGATTATTAAGGAATCAATGTCAAATTCTTTTTGGGGGGGTCCGATGATGTTATTGAATTTCCAACAAAAAAGCCCTCATCTGTTAGAGGTCCACATTGAACCGTTTACAGGTGGAATGGCACGGTGTCTGGGATTTGCCTCCTAATAATTTGGAAAGTCGAGAGGAAGGGAGAGTTGTATGTGAAACAGGGCTGGCCACACGTGAGCAGCTGCTGATGACGAAAGACAGACACACTAGACAGTTCCCTCTCCGCCCTACCCTACGGTTTGAAAACGGCTGCCTGGGTACCTCTCCAAGCAGGAAACCCCCTGACCCCACGCTGCAGCCCCTGCTGGGGCCACTGGAAGTCCTCCCCACCCCTCCAGCAGCCAAGCTCCCTCATGCACCGCGTCCCTCTGCCTGACATGCCCTCTGCCCTCTAGGACAGTGATGGCGAACCTATGACACGCGTGTCAGAGGTGACACGCGAACTCATTTTTTTGGTTGATTTTTCTTTGTTAGATGGCATTTAAATATATAAAATAAATATAAAAAATAT